CAGGCAGCTACAGCGCATATGACCCCAAATGCATAGGTGACAGACAGTGCATACTCTTTTGCACTGCATTAGCTTTAATCGCCATAGGAATGTACTGTCATATGACCTCATTGGGCTCATTTGTGGCAGAGCCATTCACTTCAAACGCAATAGAAAGCCTTGATGGGCGCAAATTTTGGCACATGTTTTTGCGGTTGTTCTAGTCCCCTTAATTGGTTGTATTGCCAGTCCATTTATAGAACCACGGTCCCTTCGGTTTGGTATACCAGCCATATGTGGTGGCAACGCTTCTGTTCTTCAGCAGATCATGTTCCTACCACTACTCTGATTGGAGTCTTTGTGGCCTCTACCTCCAAAATTTGATCAACGCCCAAGAGATGCTAATCAGCTCTTTGAGTGACATGACGGTAACTATTAATTTGATACTAATGAATATTTGGTGCCACAGTACCCCTGGCCTCAGGTTTTCACTCTCTCTCTCTCAACTAATACTCATATATGGCTAACCATCTCGGATGGCTTCAATATATTTTGTTGGTCAAACTTTATGCAAAGTTAAAATAGGTTAATTGTATGTATCATTTTATGAAAATTAACCATGGTGGTAAAGTAATTGCGCCTTAAAAGCAATAAGGCCAACCAACAATGGGTTCAAACTTATGTAATATATACACAGGAAAAGAAGAAAGAAAGAACAATGACTATAATGACCTTGAAATGCAGGTACTTGAATTGGACAAGTCTGCAATCATATTACCAACCCAAACTTTAGAGCAACAACAACAGAGAAATAGATGGAGACCATGCAGAGTTACAGAAGTTGAAGAGACCAAAGCCACCTTAAGCATAAACCCAATGTGTATGACCTTCATCTTTAGTGGTGTTGAATCCTCCACCGGAAGCACATACTTTGTTGAACAAGCAAACCACACGAACAGAAAGGTTGGGCGGTTAAAAATTCCTCTACCAATCCTTCTATGGTTCTACAACAAAGGAAAATCACAGTTTGCGCGTTTGTATTACAAAATTGCAGATTGCCTAAGCCAATCTGGATCAAGACAGTATACCCCTACGATTGGAATTTCAGTGTCAATGGTATTCTCAAGCCCGATGAGAAGGTCCCAATGTGCATGTTTTGGTTGCTTCCACAGTTTCTGCTTCATGGAGCACTTGATTGAATTTTTTAAAATAGCGCCGTTTCTTTCTTCATTGATCAAGTTCTTGTTGGGTTTGTGTATCGAAATTAAAATTAGTTTCTATTTTCGCTTGGGATACTTCCTAGTTTAGCATTATGACTGATATGATAACTTCTTGTGGTCAAATTGTGGAATTTTTATCCAACAAGAAATTGAGTTTTGAAGACTCTATAAATAAATATGGGTTTGGATAGAGGTAGGTAGATAAAGAGATGATTGTAGAGAGAAAAAAAGTGAGTTGAGTTTGTGAAAAAAGAAAGATTGTGTAATCATTTTGAAGTAGAGATAGTCGTTCTTCGCACGTGGACGTAGGCAATTTGTCAAGCCACGTAAATTTCACCTTGCTTGTGTGTTCTTTTACCAATTGTGTGTGTGAAATCCTAACAAGTGATATCAAAGCCATGACGGCAACTATTACAGATGGAAAGTACGTGGTCAAGAAGTTTGATGGAAAAAGGAACTTCAGTCTTTGGCAAGTTTGAATGCTGGATTTACTTGTTCAACAAGGGCTAGGAGAGACTTTGGGTAAGAAACCAGAAAAGATGAAAGATGTAGATTGGGGAAAGTAAACTCAAAGGCAATGAGCGCAATTCAATTGACATTGGTTGATGATATTGTGTATGATGTGATACAAGAAGATTCAACTGCGGAGATGTGAAATATAAATTTGTATTTTAGCAAATTTCGTTTTCAAAATAAGTCCGATTGAGTTGTAGAATTTTGTTCGCTTTGTCAATACTCAAGAACGGAAGCGGAATTAAGAAGTGATCCTGCTTGTGCTTTGATATATTCCGTGATGATGAGAACAATACCTTAGTTCGGTATGCGAGAGTGTGTAAGGACACTTAGGGAGTTCAAAATTAGGCTTTGAGAGAAGTTTTACTTTCTGCCTAACGTGAACCGGTTCAGCAAAACTTGAACCAGTTCAAATTTTAAAGGTTTTTCAAGATGTTCAAGTCTGGCCAAAATTTTTATAAATCGACCTAGAAACTTGAATGCATAATCAATATAGACAAAGTCTACCCAAAATAGGAATCAGAGTAAACCAGAAAACAAAGTTACTAAAAAGGTTTGAAGGACTTGAACCGGTTCAAGTCCTTCAAACCTTTTTAGTAACTTTGTTTTCTGGTTTACTCTGATTCCTATTTTGGGTAGACTTTGTCTATATTGATTATGCACCAAATTGGCTTGTTTTCCAAGAGTTTTTAGGTCTTCCAAAATTTTATATAATATTTTTTTTACTCAAAATTAAGTACGGCTTTTTGGAACAAAAATTCATTATTTTTAGAGAGTCTTTTTGGGAGATATTTTTCTACAAAATCAAACTTGATTTTTCTGATTTTGTTTTGAGAGCACACACAAAAACACAAGAGTGATTTAGGAGTGTTATTCTCTATCTCATTGGAAATGGAGCTTAATTGAAGATTCAAAAATTTCGAGGAGCATGATTTATTTACCTTCACATAAAATTCAAATTTGAAAAAGAAGATCACACTTTGAAGGGATCAATGCACTTGCGTAGTGTTGTTGATCTACTAGTAATCCTTCTACAAGGTTCGAGACATAAGTCTGAAGTCAAGAGCTGTTGGACAGGAGGTCACAAAGCCAGAGGCATTTAGCGGATTAGGTCTTGGTAGAGTGAAAGGGTGTAAGTCTGAGTCAAAGTTCAATATACTTTGCTTAATACATAGTGGATCGTTTACGCTCGGGACTGCGCAAAAATCCTCGAGTTTTTTCAATTAGTTTCCTCACTAAAATTCTAGTGTCATCTCGCTAACCTTGCTTTACTTTTCATCATTTGGTTTTGTGATTGTGGATGTTTAATTGTTCATATTTGTGGGTAAATTAACAAGTCAAAAAAAATTGGACAAGTTGACCTAATCACCTCATCTAGGTCATTTAGAGTGTTAATCACAATTAATCAACTAACAACTTTTGCATCGCGTAACTCATAGAAGAAGTTGGAGAATCTATATATGGGAAAGAATCTCACCAACCGGTTCAAGAGTTGTATTCATTTACGAGAAAATAAGGGGTAAGCCTACAAGAATATCTTGGTGAGTTTAACAAAATTATTTGGGATTTATCTAATGTTAATGTCAAGTTAAGTGATGAAGATAAAAAAATTTATTTTGTTAACATTGGTACGCTCTACACATAAGTATTTATTCAATACTTTGATATATGGGAGATATACTATCTCGGTGGAACAAGTTAATCAACATAGTTAAAGGATATCAAATATCATTTAAATGCAAAAAGCTCTTGTATCACTAAAAAGTATATGTAAGCGGATCAAAATAATAAATTTTAAAAGATATTTTAATGTGATATTTGGTCAATTATGTATAGTGTGAGGGTAATTAATTCAAATTAATAATAATAAATCATTGACTCAAAGTCAACGGTCTTTCTGTATTCATGTGATAGGAATGTACAAAGAAAGTGAGTTACAGCCAAAAGTGACCATATCAGCTGACGGAGACTTAAAACGCTAGCACGTCAACGCACTGTTATTCTTTCCATTTCTCTCCCCCATAGACAAAAATGAAGTTCTTCTTTCACACTTCACATTGGGTCTGAACTCCGCTCATATTCAAATGTATTGGTTCTCTGAGTAATTATAACAGTCAACTGCTTTGGAGGTAAAGTTACTATTTCAAGATTTGGAGGTTATCGAGTTGAAGAAGATCTCCCATTCTTCTTTTTCTCACCATAATTTCATTAATACTACTACTTTTTATATTCACAGAAATAATTTTATTTTATTTAATTTTTCTCATGATTGTTTTTTTTTTTTTTCAATGGGAAAGTAGCATCTTACAGTTTTCTTGAACTAACCGAATTCTTGTCTGAATCTACTCCTGCAGAAAGTAAAGTTAATAAAGCTGATTGAAAAATGGCATCTTTTGTGAGGATTACAGGTAATTGAGCTGTGTGTAGTTCACAATCACATATATTCGTTGCTATTTATTACCCTGGTATAATCTCATATCATAGTCGTCCATGTTTAGCATATTCATACTCGATATGAAAACTTCCCCCCACTTTTCCTCTGTAAATTCCCCCTTTCTTGCTACCCAAATGGCAATTAAAAGCAATAGGAAAATTGGTATCCCGAACCAATTAGCGTTAATAAGTTCCTAGAAGTATATAATGTGTGACCAAATCATATAATGAAGAAAAGAGCAAGAGGTTTTTTCTTCATTTCTAGTCTGCAATGAAGCAAGTGGTTATGAGTTGTTTATAAAATTGCTAATTACTCCCTTGTTGGTCTGGGAGAATTAACGGACTATTTTTTAAAAAATTGTTATGCAATTTAAATGTTAAGTAGATCTGATGCTACTTAACAACAACAGTTGAGTTCAGAGGTTTAACGGACCAGTACTTTTGATCTTCAATATCACAACTCTTATATTACCAAGGTTTCCTTCTTTGTTTTCTTTCATTGGCAGCTCTTCTCTGGGCTGACATATTAGCAGTGTTTTCTATGTCGACCATGATGACGTACTTAACAAATGTTTGGAAGTTTAATTTGACGCATGCTGCTGCGATTATAAACATTTGGGAAGGTGTAAAGTTCGTAATGCCAATAGGCTTTGCCTTACTTGTAGACACCTTTATGAGTGACTTTGCAATGCTCTTAATGTCCAGTATTTCCTACAGCATTGTAAGTAATAACTCTTTGTTAGATTCTCCTGATTTTCCTTTCTGCTCAGAACTCAATTTTTGTTCGTGATGAAGTTTGCAGCATTTACAGAAATAACACTTTACCCCCAAACAAATGAACTTGATTATATGCAGGGGTTGGGCTTCTTGGCTATTTCTACACCACCAGTTCTTTCTAAATCCTTAGGCAACTGCAGTGCATACAAGCCAGAATGCATCGGTCATGCACAAAAAATCCTCTATTACACTGCTTTAGCTTTCATAGCCGTGGGGATTTCTGGTCACGCAGTCTCTTTGTTTTCATTCCGCACTAAACAAGTTAATGTCCAGACAGAGGACGAGAACAAGGACAAGGACTTTGGACGGAAACTTGCATGGCATTGTGCAGGCAACTTTGCCGTGCCCATAATTGGAGGTATTGCACTTCCATATATAAAGCCATGGTCAATCCTGTTTGGAATTCAAGCAATATGCACCGCGGTGGCAACACTTCTATTCTTGAGTGGCTCATACAAACATGATAAGCGACGAGGGAGCCATCTCACAAATTTGTTCAGAGATTTTGTGGCTTCTGCTTCAAAGATATGGCACCAATGCCTCAGGTTTTGACTCTCCCCCCCTTCAAGATCAGATTCCCCAATAGTTTTCTTTCTGAATTTACTCACATTTTAATCCATATATAAATAATTGAATCCTTTAATTACCCCACCATTTTTTTTAATATCACACCACCAGCACTACCATTCTTTAATTGCTGTAGCTTAAAGTAAAAGAATCAAAGTACCCAATTAGTTATTTCTCTTAAATGATCAATTGGTCTGTTATTGAGAAAATAACAAGAAGATCGACCCTTATTATTATGATTGTCTTCAGTTTTCAGTTTCAAATTCACTATTGCAACATTGTTGAAATGCAGGTCGGCTCCCACTGCATTGCCAACCGGCCCAACTAGAAAAGAACAGGAGAAAAATATAGAGACAGTCAAAGATATCAAAATTGGTATTCGCATGATTCCAATGTGCATGACTTTCATTTTTTTTGGGGTGGTAATATCTATTGGTAAAACTTACTTTATTGAGCAAGCAAACCACATGAACCGCAAGTTGGGACACTGGACCGTCCCTCTTCCAATATTTTTAACTTTTAATATCTTAATAAACTATGAGTTTGGAAAAGTTCGGCTTAGTAGATTATATTGCAAAATAGAGAGAAGAATCTTTAGCGGTTCAGGATCACAACGATATGGTCCCCCAACTGGAATTGCCGTAGCAATGGTAGTTTCAGTACTGTGTTGTATCACTGCTGCAAAAGTGGAAACTCAAAGGCACAGTGTGATTAAGAGCCATAGTTTACTTGACAAGCCGGATGAGAATATCCCAATGAGCGTATTTTCGCTGCTTCCACAGTTTCTCCTTCTTGGCATGGTTGATGGAATATCTAGAACTTGCATTGATGAATTCTTCCAAAATCAAGCCCCTGCCCCCATGAAAAGATACCTGACACTTTTTACCCATGTGTTATTTGGTCTAGGAAACATGGCTAGTGTTCTTTTGGTATATATGGTGGGTAAGGTTAGTGAGAAGGGAGAGAAACCAAATTGGTTCCAGGACACCTTAAACAGGAGTCGTTTGGATAACTATTATTGGACACTGACAGTTTTAAGTTGTGTCATTCTTGTGTTGTATATATTGGTGGCACTGTGTTATCCTTATAGAGAATCAGCATCAAAAGACGTGGAAGCGCCACAGAATCAAGAGTCTGCTCAACCCAACGAGGACGACATCCAATTTTGCTGTTGTTGTGACTACTTATTTTTTAAGTGGGTTCCTCGTGTAATTTAGTGTTCATTTATGTTGTATTTTTGCAATTCCAAATATTGAATAATGTCTATCATTTTGCAATTCAATTGTTTCTCACCTTCCGTAAAAAAAAAAAAAAATCAATTGTTTCTTCAAGTAAAAGCATGTTTGTAGAATTTTAACAATTATACAAAAGACATTCACCATTGATATCCCAATATAGTCATAACTTGGGGATTATACTGCTGCAGCCTGTAGGAGATGAGAGGGGCTTCAAAATTTATTGTCAGAAAAACTTAAAGGTTTTGTTTGGATAGAAATAATTGGAAGGAAAAGCAACGGAAGGAAAAGCAAGGGAAGCTTTTGTTTCGTCTCTCTCCTCGTTTAGTTTGTTAATGGGAAGAGAGAAGAAATTAGACTTCCAAAAGTGAGAGGATTTGAATAAAAACTTAAAGTCACGAAGAAATAGAAAGAAAATGATAGTTTTGACTTCTTGTTGTGTTTGATTAATTAGTGAAGAAAGAAAAAAGAAATGATTATAATCATATTTGGGGAAAGAACGGAATTTTTATATTTTTAATAAATTAGAAAATGTTGGCCTTTCCCTCTTTTTTCTTCCAATTTTGGGAGAATAACAAAAGCTGATGTTGCTACCATATTCATTTCCGTCGTTTCTTTTCCTCCATTACCTTTCTTTTTGTACCCTTTTTCCTTTCATTTTTTTCCGACCAAACTAGCCCTAAGTGAAACTTTCATAATATATGTATATAAAAAAATATTTATCTCAACATTGAAAAGACATTTGAGTCCACATAATTTTTTTTTCCTTCTTTATCTTTTCCAAAAAAGAATAATTTATCAAAACACAAACAAAGAATATTGTGACTTTTTCTCCGTCTAAAATAAATAGGGTTAATTTTACTGACACCCCTTTAAGTTTGGTCAAATATCACAGTAAAGCACCTTCCGAAAATTACTATCACATAAGTCCAATCTTACTTTTTCATTACTAATACCGTTAAAAATGTGCAAAAATATAATTTTGCCCCTAATTTTTTTATACTTTATATTTCAAAATATAACAATTTAAATTGACTATTTTACCCTAGTTAATTTCTCACCTACCCATTCCTCTCCCTCTCTCAGGCACACAACCTTACACATACACACAGCCATGCCCACCACCAAAATTCCTCTTACCAGATTTCCACCATGAACTGGTGACTGTATATATAAATATATGATTACTCTCTCTGTTGTACACATATAATGAAGAAAAGAGCAAGCGGCTTTTTCTGATTACTACTAGTCTGCTGTGGAGCAAGTGGTTATGTGTTATTTTGAAAATTGCTAATCACTCCCTTGGTGGTCTCAAAGAGTTAAACAAACTAGTTTTAAAATATTTGTTATGCAATTTAAATGTTAGCAAGCGATTCGAATTTGGAGAGCTTAATCGACCAAGAATTTCGATCTTTATATCACCACTCTTAATTTACTGCAGTTTCCTTAATTTGTATATTTTCATTGGCAATTCTGATGTGGGCTGACATAGCAGCATATGCTATGTGGGTGATGAAGACATACTTAACCTGACTGATCGGGAGCCTAAACCAAATCTGCCAAGACTCAGATGGTATTTTGGCTTGGTCCAGACTTGTGCAGCGCTCAGATCACCTTGAAACTTTGGTTAAATGGACTCTAGGACAGTGAATTTTTCAAATATGTTGGCTTTCCTGAGTGCATGGATTAGGCTTTTTGTGATATATAAATTTGTAATTGGCATATTTCGTTTTCAAAACTTGTCCGATCGAGTTATAAATTTTCAGTTCGATTTGTCAAAAATCAAAATTGGAAGTGGAATTGAATAAGTTCAGATGTTCATACTTCAATATACTCCGAGATGATAAGAACAACGCTTTAGGAAGGTAAGAGAGTGTGAGGACACTTTGGAGGTTTAAAATTAAGCTTTTGGGAAGTTTTACATTCTGCCCAACTTGAACTAGTTCAAGTCTCTTGAACTAGTTCAACTTTTGAGACTCTTTGGTGTTTTTTTAAGTCTGGCCAACTTGAATTAGTCCAACCACCCTGAACTGGTTCAACATTCCTTCTAACCTGTCCCCCTCTAGGCGGAACCAAATCACGCAATAGTGTGTCTTCCTCAACTTGCTCCTCAACCTTCTCCATGGGATTGGAGCTAGAACTTTCCCCGGAATCCCTTCACGATGGCATAACGTTATAAGAAGAGAAAACGGGACACTAAAGTTGGCCCGAGAACGACATCTTCACACGAATGACTCTATATAAAATGTAAACACTTAAGCACTTTCCCATACTCTCGGAATACCCAACAAATAATAGACATGGCCATACTAACAATATACATAAACTTAAACATATAAGCACGTAGCCACATAAACAAGTAAGCAGGTAAACATGCTTTTCGAATAATTAAACACACTAATACGTAAACACATAAACAATGCAATTCAACCTTCACACAACCTTAGGTAGGCCTTTACCCGTCGTCCTAATGGTTTTCAAACCATCGCTCTGATACCAAATCTATAACGACCCGAATCTGGAGGTCCGAATCGCTAATCGAGTCCTTACCCGAACCCGAGGACATGCAAAGGTACTATGGTCATTTTCCATTAAATTAATACCAAGGTTATCCAATGATTATGACGAAGCCTGGGGGTGATATGGTCACTTTTGTGGTTAAAATATAATTAATGTATTTTATTGGGCTATATAGTAAATACTAGCAACATTAAATGTATAATAAATGATAAAAGAGGGAAATAAAACACAACCTTAAAAAAAGGCAAGAACAGACGTGTGAACACTACACGTTGACTGGTTTAGGTCATTCAGTCGACGTGTGAGAATTTCACGTCGACCGGTTTAGGTTATCCACAGTGGAAATGCTTAATGTCCAAAAAATGTGAGATACCGGTCGTGTAATGCTCACACGTTGATCGAAACCTGCCAAAAAAAAATTATTAATTTTTTCTTTAATTACTCCAACATGGTAACAAACCACTCCAAAATCACCAAAAGACCACTAAAAATATTTCCATAACACCATTGCACGTGTGTGTATATATATATACACACACTTTTACATTTACGTGAAAACATCCAATAATTCTATTTCTCATACATACTCAACAAAACAACGACAACGTTAACATATGTTAACATGATTTAGGATAATCCACAAACACATTCTATAAAATACACAACTAGAAGATTTAGTAAGATTAAATTTAATTACATCCCCAAATACGTCAAAATATATCCAAAAGATTAGACAATTTCAAAATAATAAAAGTTTGCTCCAATTGTTACAAAAATAATACACGATTACTAATGTTACAAAAATAATGGAATCTTCAACACTGACTACACAAGTGGAGAACATCGCCGAGTACCTCCTTACCGTGACCTGAAAAATAATAAAGGAAGGAGTGAGCACGGAGGTTCAGTAGAAGTTGTCTAAGGCATCAACTTTGGACTCCCTTGAGTCACGAAACACATAAAGTGATAGAGGGGAAGCCGAGATCATACATTGAGAATCCATATCATTATTTATAACATAATTTAGCATTTCCATCAACCACGTAATACATTTCAACAAAACCGTGCATAATATGGAATGCAATGCACCATGTCCCCATGCTTGGTCTCTACCGACCCTAATTCACACTTATAAAGTCGCTAACCGACTTTACCGAAGTGAGATTGATAATTAGCCCTAGTTCCAAATCTGGCAACCTTTTGGGACCTGGTATCAACTTTTTCACGTCCTAAACCAGCACGTGCTCCCTCTAGGTCGAGTTAGCACCGGACTTGCAAAATCTGGTTCCCTTTTTATAAAATCACTTTAAACTCTTTCTCACTTCCCTTCCCCACCATGTCATGCAAATGCATCAACTTTATCAATTTAATTTCAAGTTCATCTATATTACAATAATGGCATACACATGACATTTTCTACAAATTAACTACAACCATGACATTTATCAAAGGGACTAACTACAAGTCTAACATTTCCCAACTTAAACAATAACATACTCATCGTATACACCATATCAACCCAATTAAACTAACGTTTAGCATGTAGCATGGACTGGCAACCTTTCAACACATATAACCCTACTTTCACATACATTAACATGCCAATACCTTCTTATTCACAACTTTACATTAAACAATAACAATAGAGGCATTCATAGCCTAATTACCCGTTGAAGGACAAATTTCAAAGGTTTAGAAAACCCTACCTCAAGATTGAGAGAAACCCCAAAGCTAGCCCCAAAATTTGAAATCCCAAGGTGGCCCAAACGAAGATCTGCTCCGATCAAAATGAAGTTCTCGTCGTGCTCGTCAACTTTGCCTTCTATTGCAAAGTCGAAATCTAAACGGAAAGAAGAAAATCAGAAGCTTGAATACACAATTTTAGAAAGAAAAAGTTTGCTTTGTAGAGAGAGAAAGCTAGCCACGGTTTGGAGAAGAAAGAATGGCCAAAAAATCACCCATATGTGGTAGATGTATATGAGAAGTGGGCCCCATAATGTCAAAATATCCACTTTTGTCTTCATATGCATATACCTATATATATATATATACACACACATTAAACACATTATAACCACACATCTAAACACATAGCCATATTAAATATGCATTAAATGATGATATAAGAAATATAACAGCCTTGAAAATTAATCCCGTGCATGACAAATCTGGTTGCGGGTCCCGCCTTGACCCGACCTAAATAATTGAAAAATACCGAAATGACAAATAATGCATTTCTAAGAGTCCTGAACTTGAAAAAAATGCCTCAAATAACTCTCGGGACTCACCCGATACACCCCACGGTGCCCAACACGTAAAACAAGGAGATAAAAATAAAACAAATCTGAAAAATCCCCGAAAATGGAAAATAAGGAAAATGAGAAACATTACACTTTCCGAGTTAAATTAGGTTTTCAGAGGTCTATAAAAACATGTTTTCTCATTTACGACTTTTTGCATATAAAATTTTGATTTAATTGAGATCCATATTTGTGAGATTTTTCATTGAGAGCATACACATTATACACAGGAGAGAATTAGTCTTAAACCCAATATTGTAGAGGTTCTTAGAGAGAGTGTGTGTTACGAAGATGAGTAACATATAGTGAAGATGGGTCTTGGGTAGTTGCCATTCGATTACTCGGCGCCGGATGTCACAGTCCCATTTCTGTGAAAACTTTA